TTTACAGACTGCAAAAAAAAAAAATTCCTTAGGGAAAGCTCTTTAACCGATTGATGAGAATTAGATTGATCAAGTGCTGTGCCAGCAGAAACAAAGTCTTAGGTGCTGCAGATTATCAGCGATTTCCTTCTGCAGCACATGGATAGATACACCTGGAAACATCTACCTACCTCCCTACCTACCTCCCTACCTCCCTACTCTCTCCCTACCGTATTTCTCTCTTTCTCTCCCTTCATCTACCTACCTACCTACCTACCTACTCTCTCCACCTACCTACCTACTGTATTTCTCTCTTTCTCTCCCTTCCTATCCCTCTATCTACCTACCTACTTTTTTAAAAAAAAATTGCCTCTTCAAAACCTTGGTGCGTCTTATACTCCAAAAATACGGTACACCATACAGACCAGTGGTGAAATTCAATTTTTTTTAATCAGTTCTGTGAGTGTGGCTTGGTGAGCGTGGTGTAGCTTAGTGGGCGTGGCAGAGAGAATGATACTGCAAAATCTCCATTCCCACCACAGCCTGAGGTAGCATTTGCTGGTTCTCTGAACTACTCAAACGTTCCGCTACCAGTTCTCCGAACTACTCAAAAATTTCGTTACCGGTTCTCCAGAACCTGTCAGAATCTGCTGGATTCCACCCCTGATGCACACACACTCACACCACACAGAGTTCAAACAAGAAATTTTCCAGGGAGTTTGCAACAAGAAAGGAAGCAAAGAAGAGGAACACAATCCTGACAGCGTGAATTAATTGGTAAAAGTTTCCCAAAGCAAGGAACATGGAAGCTTTTTGGAGACGGAACGGTTTGCACAATTCAGGTTGCGTTCACACATGCTAAGAAGCCATGGTTTTGCTTTAACCAGGATCCGATTAATGTTGTGACCTGCTTCCACATGATATTTAAAACCCTACGGTGCGTGTTGTTTTGCCAGGGTTGGGCTTAGCTTGCCATGGTGAACTCAGGCACTGTGGCTTAGTCAAGAAACTAAGGGTAAATCAGATTTACACCCTTTTTTATAATTCACACACAACATTAAATTCAAACCAAAGCTTATTCTAGAGAAAACCGAACAAAAGTAGACAGGCAATCCTCAGGTTACAGTGGCATCTTAAGACTAGAACTGGGCCGTTATCAGACAGTGAAGTGCCACAAGAACATGCTGCTTAATGACAGCAATTCCAACAGCCCCAGTTGTCCTTATTAAGCAAGGACACCGTGAGTCATTAAGTGAGGACCTCCCGCAATTAACTTCTGACCTCCTGCTGGCTTCCCCAATGACCTATCTTGGCAAAAGTTGGAAATCAGTGTCACAGGACTGTGGCTTGCTGCGATCACAATCACAGAATCCTACAAC